TTTACAGGTGAGGGATAACATTTATCTTTCGTTAATTTATATAGCAAAATTGTTTGAATACAAACCTACTGTCGTTAGATCAGTGTCGTTAATGGCGGGTTATTTCTAATACGATTTGCAGCTTATAAAGGTTCCAGATCTGATCTAAAACGTTGTGTTTTTGAAATAAAGGTTGTGTAAAGAAGAAAAAGTTGTTTTGGTGATATACATATATAGTTTGCTGATGCTGATGTTAAGAATGAACCATGCAAAATGGTGCAATTATACCTTAAAATCAATCTTAGAAATCGGTTGCCTTAATTAGGTTTTTATTGACCTGATTGAGGATTTGGGTCCATGTACAGGGTGGTCCAAAAAATGGGAACTCGTATTTCGAAAATAGATATTGATTTTCTTGATAAAAACATGTCATATTATATACCAGTGGATAGGGAATTCACTCATCTTTAATTTGGTATATCATAAGTTCAAATTTATTTTAATGTCTGTCAACCAGCGTCCATAATATAAATGACGTCATTTTCGTTTCAAAACGGGTTTTCCAAAAGTAGTAAACACCAAGTTTTATTGTCAACTTTATTTACATACACAGATGTTCAATATGTCCACCATTTTGATCAATTGTAGCCCTCATTTTTGGCCTAAATTGGTCAATAGCATCATTGATATGCTGTTGAGACAATGAATTTCACTTCTCAATAATTCTATCCTTCAGGGACTGAACAGATCTGAAGGATTTATGGTATACCAATTATGCCAGTCCTCCCCATATGTGGTAGTCGCAGACGTTGGGTAATCGGGTGATCTGAGCGAGGCAGTGATTAAGGGGAATGAATCTAGGCACATTTTCCTTTAAACATTTGACACTCTTGTGAGATCTATTGCTTGGAACCCAATCTTGTTGGAAAATGTAATGATTCGAAAATGAGCTCATATCAGGATGGTCCAAAAAACAACATTTAATTGGATCATCCGATGTCAGTGTCTGCGACTACCGCATATTTGGAGAACTAACATAATTGGTTTAACATGAACCCCTTAGATCTACTCAGTCCCTTAAGGACAGAATTATTAAAAAGTCGAATTCACTGTCTCAACAGCATATCAATGATGCATTTTACCAGTTTAGGCCAAAATCGAGGGCTATAATTGATCAAAATGGTGGACATATTGAGCGTCTGTTTATGTATATCAAGTTGACAAAAAATTGGGGTTTTGCAAGTTTCGGAAAACCTGTTTTAAAACGAAAATGACATCATTTATATCATGGACGCTGGTTGACAGACATTATAATAAATTTGATATACCAAAGTAAAGATGAGTAAATTCCCTATCCACTGGTATATAATATGACATGTTTTCATCAAGAAAAACAATATCTATTTTCGAAATACGAGTGTCCCATTTTTTGGACCACCCTGTATTTAAAAACGTTCTCGAACAAGCTGCTACCTCGTTCAATAGTTTTAACTATGAGCGCTTTTGTTTTCTAATTTTCCGTCTATTTGGCATGTATCACTGAACCGAATATATACTCACTCAGCTGTTCATGATTACGCGTCTGAACAATCACCTATTGTATTGCCTCATAAATGCATACCATGAATGCATCATCACGATCATATTTATAATATTTCACTAATTTCTTTTAATAAAATATCATTGTTGTAATGTTCCTTTTTTATTTTTCACATTTTTCAAAATATTCCATCATTGCATTATGTATAGTTGTTCAATGTTTATTACCTTCAAACAGAGGTGTAAAAAGATGCTTTGACGTAAGAGTATATAGTGTGCACAAGTGCCAAAAAGTGCCAAAAATTGTTACAGAACACATCATGCAAAAAGAAAAGATCTAAGAGTGTGCCGGTGTAAAAGGGTATGAGGTCCTATCAAATTATGGTCCTACTCTCCATTGATTTATATGGTGACCTAAATACAACTCTTTCTCTTATTATCTTATACACAATCAGGGCCAGTAAGGGCCGTTTAAAAAGGGGACCATAATCCCCAGGGGACCATAATTTCTTTCACACCGGTCGTTAGGAAAACATACCCCCACTCTCCCAAAACAATGATCTTACCCTACTATCACACCAAACTAGTTCTCACTACGGTCTCAAAAACGGGCTTCTACTGTTTACGAACGGACTGGACGCACTAAGAACCGTTTGGGGTCTATTTACAAACTTCATCGAACGTACTTGAACGGGTAGGTCCTCTAGAAATTAGAACATGCTCAAAATGCTCTTGTGGTCGACTTAACGTACTAACGACGAGCTGGACGTACTGCAAACGGAACCGTCGTACTGCAATCCTACTAGGAACGTTTTTACAACGAGTTGAACTGTCTGAGGACGTATTGAGAACGAGGTAGAACTAATTGCAAACGGGTTTAAACTGATTAAGAACGTATTAAAGACTGCTTATGAACGAGTTAGCAGAAATATAGCTATCAGACTAAACAAGTTGCCACTGCGTTCCTCAAAACTGGTTTTAAACTGTATGCGAACGGAATGAATGTAGCTGCAACTTTCTAAGGACTATTTACGAACTTCGTGAACGTTCTCAGACAGGAAGGTGATTTTAGAATTTTGAATGATGGCGACCGGTAATCAGGTCATGATGTCATTCTAGACTAAGGACGCGTTATACGACGTTGCACACCGTCGTGGTGCGACCTGAACGAACTGCGAATGAGATGGACGTATTGAAGACTGTTTGTGAACAATGTAGCTAATTATTTTAGACATATTTCCCGATTGATTTTTAGATTGAGCCCGTTTTACGACGTTTTCGTAGGACTGGCAAGAACGGGTAAGAACTAGTTTGGTGTGATTTGGGGGTAAGGTAGAAAGAAGCAGTGGCTAATACATGTCGAGGAATGCATTTAGAATCGATAGTCAATACTCATAACTTAAAAAAAGTTTAAGATACTAGCCCAGTTTTAAACGATGTGAGACAGGCAAAATCCAGTCTCGAATGCCATTAGAGTATCAAAAGGTGAACATCTATCCGCAAAGCCAACGTCATAATCCATAAAACACAATATTTCACAATTCTCATTCGGAGATTTTTCTAATGAAATATTTATTGAAACCGAGCAATTGTTTTGTTCTAAATTGCTTTATCAGACATTTAATCATGATCATCCCATAGATCATGCAATGGCCAATTTTGATACAAAATAAATTCCACACTAACAGTGTGTACATTACAAAGCACACGATATTTACTAATAAACATGTTCCATGGAGTCTATCGTTGTTTTGCTTATTTGTTCATACTTGCCACAATCAACCTCACTGCTAAAATATCAAACCAGGCCCAATTTCAATCAAACTTGGCCCAACATCAATATGCATCAGGTTGATATTCTTCAAAAATAAAGTTGTCATGGCTACCAATGCCTTATAGTGACCATGGCAACCGTGAAGCTGGAGTTAAAAATGAGAGCAAAAAGCAACCAAATGTACATCAATGTTGGAACTCGTTTTTAAAACATTTCTTGACATACGCATTACAGAGTTAAATTTCTTTTCGGGCAATGTTTGGCAGCTTTTCTTTACCAAGGAAAAATATAATTACACTGGTGGGCCAATTTCAAAGAGATCGTAAAATGGGAACTATGCCTTTTAATGTCATCAAAACGTGAAAAGGCTATTTTCGCACAACTTTCAGTGTAGTAATTTCATATATTAGTTCTGAAAATGTCAGTGTTATTTAGCTAATTTTATCTGTTCATCGATGTATAAGTGTCACATTGCGTCAGCTAAGCGTAAAACGATCGGAGGATTTCAAATGTCTCGTTCACTAGAAGCTTCAGCGGCACTGATGGAGGTTCCAAGCATTATTCTCGCGTTCGCCATTATTTCACCATTAAAGGTATTCTGCCAACTAGGTAAGGTCACTCCAATACGATCACCGCGTTGAACTTTTTATGATGCGAACAATAACCAATTATTGAAGAATAGAAACAATGCAATATCTGAATTTTGATTATGAATAATTTACATTCATTTGTTTGTAAGAATTAAACTATTTATTTTTAGACAGTCTTGACATTCTTTTTAATGTAAACACAATTCAATCTAAATTATTTTGTCAAAAAGGCCAATATACAGTGATAGTGAGACATGATGCAAAGCGTATTTTGTGTCAATGTATATACAGGGTGGTCCCAAAAAATGGTACACTAGTATTTCAAAAATGAATAATGATTTCTTGATGAAAACATGTCATATAGACAGGTTCGAATTTCAGAATATCTCAAGGGAAAGAGGTTTTGGGGCATTTTTTTAGAAAAAGCAAAATACTTATTTTTTGTAGATCAGTTTGTCATGCTGATAAAGATATTAAAATATGACTTTTAGTGTTTTTACTCCCCTAGGAAAATATTTTAGGGGGTACTATAATATTAGTTTATAACTCAAAGGATATTTGAATTATTCTTCTGAGTTCTACAACCTGCATTGCTAGTACAGAGATTAATAATATCTTAAAGTTATAGGTTGATATCTTTGTTGGTTTCGGAAAAAATACAATTTATAATAAATTTTTGTCATTTTTTCTTGCTTATTTTATATTTGTTGTTTCAAGCAAAATATGATAACTTTAACATCTCAAAGTAGTATTCTAACAACATTCCTAAGCTATGTGTGATATTGTAATACATCTATTATTGTGATGAAGTGCTATTTTGTAATTTTAATATGACTTTATAGTGCCCTACCCCTGGTAAATAGAAGAAAGCTGGTGTGTTTTCTCTGGTTTTAATATTTCATTGACTTCTCAGATGAAGATACAATCAAATTCGCTAGTTTACCATGAGTAGCTTTACAATGGTTAACTATTCAAATGAATAGAGGGTTTGGACCTCAAAAATACTAGACCTGTTAAATGGCATCCTTGGGCAACCCTCTTCAGAGCATTTTCCTTACACTTCAATAAAATCTGCAGGAGATACTATAAGAAGCCTATTTATCTCAGATACTAATGAAGATACTGACTTCAACTTTTCAAGTTTTGGTCCTGGTATAAAAGGTAATTAATCTTTATGACAAAAATAAAAAACTCTGTTGCCATGGTAACAAGAATACCACACTATTTGTTTCCTTAGAAATTTGTTTTAAGAGGTTTTGTCATTCTCTTCATATTTTTAATTCTAAATATGTCTGTACAATGTTGGATGATCACAATTATTGTACAATTATATTTTCTATTGTCCATGCAATGTTTCTAAAACAGAAGTTGCTATGGCGACACATAGATCATAGAAGCAATCCTGAGAAGATCGCTCTAATAGGAAATTAAAATGGAAACTGAAAAATGAGTTTCTTCCTACTGAATAGCAATTTGGTAGACAATAACGTACATACACAAGAGAAAATGTTTATCAGTTTTATGTCATTTTGTTGTTACTTCTTTTATTTGGCCTACAAGTCCTTTTTATTTATCGTGCTCTGGGACTTATAACATCTAATGCCGAGTCTTCTCCAACATCAAAGGAAGGCAAGATTTTAATAATGAACATTTATGTATCTCAACAAATATGGCCTAAGATTTGGACAATGATGAGGAAACTCTGAGGGAAAATTAGACGAAACATTAAAGTGAGTGGTCCAGAAATAACACTTACATGTTTTGGAAAAGTTATGCTCTCGGATGAATCAGTGCTCATTTAAGGATAGTCTGAGTCAGGTGAATTTTTTAACCCAATTAATTCTATCACTCTCCCAAAGCCTCCGAATTTTTACAATTGTCAAAAAGTGACAAACAACATTCATCAAAGTTCAATATGGCTTTTTCGCTTGTATGGCATACATATATGGTACGATCTCAGGCCAATCAATAAATTTCACAAGTGACACTCTCTCTTATGCAGAAAATACTATCGTATTTGAAGACATGTCAAAAAGCTGGTGGAAATAATTTTGTCACTCCTGATTTGACCCTGACAAGGTTCAAGTAAGTTATCGCAAACAATTTCAGACAGTTATATCTTTGATTATGACTATTTTCTGACCATTAAGACAGGGATAATAAAGTCAATCGGACTTTGAGATATTTAGCAAGCAATCAACCCATCAATAAATGTTTACAAAGTTGTTGACCTTATTTTCACCAAAAATGCAATCATGTTTTACAATGTTTAATGCATACTATTCTTCATTTTAAAGTATTAAATAGCTCTTGAAAGGAAAACTGAATTCCCCTAAGATTAGTGTTCCCCATTTTATTTCCCCATTGAAGAAACTCATGTTATCCATTGGTTTCAATTCATCTCGGTCACCGCAATTCAGTATCTTTAAAATCTCTGGAGCGATCCACCTTTCCTCTTAGGAAATAGAGCATGTCTCAAAGCACAGTCTAATTATGCATTCAACAATATGATTAAAGGTTGCATTTTTGGTGAAAATTAGGTCAACATTTTTAGTAAAATGTATGTTGATTGGTCTTGATCGATTGATTGATTCATCACATTCTCAACTTTTCAGTTACATTCTCAACTAACCCCCCAAGGTCTGTAATATGTCATTTACACCTTAGGCCTAAGGTCAGCGTATTGAAGCTTTCAATGATAAGACCTTAGGCCTATGGTCAGGTATATGACGAAACCATTCATTAGTGTGACCTTAGGCCAAAGGTCATGTAAACGGTATTCATATCGACGAGACCTTAGGCCTAAGGTCGGGTGTATAAGGAAACCATTCATTGATGAGACCTTAGGCCTAAGGTCATGTAAACGGTACATTATATATCGACGAGACCTTAGGCCTAAGTTCAGGTGTATAAGGAAACCATTTATTGATGAGTCCTTAGGCCTAAGGTCATGTTAATCACAAGACGGTATATTGACGAGATCTTAGGCCTAAGGTCGAGTGTATAAGGAAACCATTCATTAATAAGAGTGAGTGCAGGCACTGTCAACATTGGCGAAGTTCAACGGCCTACTGAAAATCGCCAGAAATAAGTCCCTCATAGAATGGACTATGCAATAATTGTTGGATAAGGAATTCCAATTAGCAATTTATTTGTTTTGTTTTTGGGATAGTTTTTAAATGCCTCAAAAATAGCCCAATTACGTACATTTCTAAAGTCCTTAAAGGGTGACGCATATCGTTTAGCAAATCGAACGCTCGTTTCTGGTGTTGCTCACCGTTTAGTATAAAAGGCCCGATCCCGGAACAATACTCAAGGGTTCACAGACTCGAGGTCGTTGTGTCAACACCTCTAACTGTTATATAGTATAAGTATATTATAGATCGTCACATATTTATAAAAGGGTGATTTTTATTTTGACAAATCAATTCCACATTTATGGGTGAAGTTTCAGGATCTTCTATTTGTGTATAATAAGGAAAAATTGACATATTTTCCCCATAACGTAATAGCACAGCTTGGCATATGAAATATCCTACAAATGAAACAAAGCAGTTCTAATACAAGGATTTATATTGGCTGTTGTACATATTCTTTGAACGCAATCACTCTATGGATAATGTTTTCAAAATCATTATAAACGGATTACTTTATCTCAAAGACAATTTCAATAAACTGGATTTTACAGAACTCCCCTTATTTCTTAAAAATGGACTGATCCAGTTGATTCACCTGGAGTCGCCATATTGTTTTTATACGGGATGCTTATCGGAACCCTTTAAGGACTGCAGTGCAGTGTGTGTATATGTAGAAAATTTTATAAATAAAATGTAATGCAAATCTGCATTTGTTTTCATCTCTGGCTAAATGTTTATTTTAATGCAAATCTTGGTTAAAAAGTTCAACTTTGTTATACCAAACGTAGACATTATACCAATGCAACACGATCAGCGTACAAGATACCCAGTCTTAGACCTAACGTCTCATCATTGAACTGTTCCTTATTTATACCTGCGTTTCTTATACTAAGTATAACTGACCTAATAATATATTATGCGTAAGGTCTTAAAACTAATGGTATATTAATATGTCTGACCTTAGGCTTAAGGTATCGTTAATATACCGTTTCTTGGTTTACATGACCTTAGGCCTAAGGTCTCACCAATAAATGGTTCCTTATACACCTGACTTTAGGCATGAGGTCTCTTCAAAACATCATGACATGGTTCCCTAATACACTCGACCTTAGGGCTAAGGTCTCGTCGATATAGCGTTTCGTGATTTACAAGACCTTAGGCCTAAGGTCTCATCAATGAACGGTGTCCTTATACACTCGACCTTAGGCCTAAGGTCTCGTCAATATTCCGTTTCGTGATTTACATGACCTTAGGCCTAAGGTCTCATCAATGAATGGTTTTGTCATATACCTTCAATACACCTGACCTTGGGCCTAAGGTATAAATGACATATAACAGACCTTAGGGGGGAATGTAACTGAAAAGTTGAGAACGTGATATTCCCTTTAATATCACTAAGGTCTGATTAACTTCATTATCATTATATTTACTTTTCTTGAAGATAATGAATAGGGCTAAAAGATATACCCATGTTCAAGGTCAGAAAATATCCATAATTCAAGTTAGAATTGTCTGAATATATAAGCACAAATGCCAAAGGGAAGGGTGGCTAAAAACTTAAAAAAAAACAACAAGAAAGGCAAACTGTATGTGTAAATCTGTCATAAGAAAAGTAAACCCTATATATACCAAAAAACATGATCTAACGCGAAAAGAAACACTGTCTAATATCCCCCTCCCCCCAATCGAGAACAAATATCACAATCCAGGACCAGAACACCAAGGGACATTTCATTCACACTGAAGTCATTACAATACATGTTGAAGAAAAATTGAAAAAATTGTTTGCGATATACTGTGATAGCAAATGCTTTAGTCATGACAGTTGAAGTAAACTGGAGTTTTGGTATTTAAAGGCAGAATCAGATCTATAGAGTAAACAAAATTGAAAGCAACATGTACACTTGACCTACCAATGCATTTCTTACAATCTCAAATATAATATAATCTCTCAAAATATCCACAATATGTTATTAATTGGTAAAGTTGTTTTTAAAATTCAAAGAGTAAAAAGGGGATGTTCAAATTCTCCCAAATAATAATAAATAAGTTACACTAAGTTATACACGTTTGAGGCATGTATCTTGAGTAAGTGATGTTTGAACAGTTTTACAATCTAACCACTTATAATAAGAAGCAAGTATTGGCTGCAATGCTTGTACATGTCTCCACTCCTACAGCTATGAGCAAGTGGCAAATCTGGTCTGATTGCACATTGCAGCTAGGTTGACTACCCGAAAATCATCTTTGGTTAATTAAGATTCTTAGGTACTTTTCTAACATGTGGCTGTGATGCATCATGGCTTAATGAGGAATCTGCTATATGGTCAGATGATGAGAACGCGAACTAACAGTTTTGCCATGATTTGCACATTGTAAATGACCCTTCTGAATGGGTTGTAAAGGATTATTAGGTATATACTGTACCAGGAGGTGTCTATGGCTCAAATGACTCGTGACCTAGTATGTGGGACACTATAGTACATTACTTGTGCAAGATGACCACCATAGTCTAGTTGCTCAAATGAGATCAATTGATGAATATAGTGTTTAGACTTTATATCAATGTCCAGACTGTATGCCAACCTCTCTAGTATGCGATTACACTAGATTTCATTATGATACATAATTGAAAATTTTCATATAAAATATCCAAAGTCCTATATTCTAGTAATAAATGTATTAGAATGACACCTAACATTTGATGATGTTTTGAATGCATTGATTTGGTGTCTATCAATACATGTTTCTAACTTAATGCTGCAGAATGATAAAATTGACCACATCCACTTTCTTCAATTTTCTAGGGGTAGGGCACTATTAAGTCATATTAAAATTACAAAATAGTACTTCATAACTAAAATAGAGGTATTGCAATATGGCACATAGCTTGGAAATGTTTTTTTTCAATACCACTTTGAGCTGTTAAAGCTGTCATATTTTGCTTGGAGCTACAAATATAATATTATTGTATTTTTTCTGAGACCAATAAGGTTATCAACCTTTACCTTTAAGATAGTATTCATATTTGTACTAGCAATGTATGGTGTAAAAATCAGAACAATATCTCGAGTTATGAACTAGTTTCATAGTTTCCCCTAGAATATTTTCCTAGGGGGGGAGGGGGTAAAAATGTCAAAATTCAGTGTCATGGCAATCCAGTTGAACTATTATCTTTTAATATTTTCCTCAGCATAAAAAACTGATCTAGAAAAATAGGTCTGTTGCTTTTTCTAAAAAAATATATAATAATAATATTAATTATAATAATAATATATGTTAACATAACATTATAATGTATATTATGATGATCAATTATGGTCGCAATAAAGAAATATATATATATATCAAAAATGGACGATCTTGCACAGGTACTCATACAAGAACCTCTATATTATACAATTTCGTAATTTGCAATATAGAAAAGGCAACATTTCTCCTAAGCCAATCAGAGCCATTTTTCTTTATCTTAATTAGATACTTTAGCAGATTGTCCAAGTGGTTTGGTGGAATATGGAGCTTTCTGCTATGAGGTAAAACCCCATTTAGTCAAAAAGAAAGCAATCAATACAATCATCAAATTGTGATTTCTCGAACAGTTTGAAATTACTCACAATATAAGTTTGTATAATTATTGTGTCTAATTTAATTTTAGTTCAATAGTCGTATCACGAGTGAGCAGAAGACTTGGACAGAAGCCCGCGACAACTGTTTACAAAATAATGCTGATTTAGTTAGTATTTTGAGCCAAGATGAGCAGGAATCCATATTTGGAAACATACCAGGGTATGTTGGGATAACAGTTCTTGTCTAAAGCCATAATTAAATAGTAAAAAGGTGCAACTTAACCCTAATTTGGATTAGAAGGGGTCGGATTTTCCTCCGTAATCGTAGTAGCTATAGCTAAAGATAAAAACACGCTCGCTGCAAATATCGAGGCAATGCATGGGAGGTGTACAGTGGGTGAGTTAAGATGTTGAAAATTGGGTTTTTATTTTTAGAAATTGCCTGAAAATCACACTAACTCTATGTTTTCATCAGATGTTTTGTTTCAATAGAAGAAGAAGCTAGGTCGATAGATGAATAAGCTAGGTCAATAGACTTACAAAATATATCTCGCGAATTAACAAAATCTGTGGATTTTTTACTAGATCTTGTGTCTCGAAATGTACGGAAAGCAGCTGTTCTTGCAGGAGCGTGCTGTTTGATTCCTACCTGTGAATATTGTATGATTGTTTTTTAAGGAGTGGTATCGATATGGAAAACCTTTTGAACACACGTTTCTCTTAAACAAGTCATTAAAAATCTAAACATTTTACACATCGTCAATTAAATGGTCATCTTTTGAATGGTAACGATATAATTGGAAAAATGCATTTATACTTTCATCTATATTGTTTTAGAAAACACTTGTTTTGTTCTTGGTACAATGTTTCCAGAGTGAAATGAAACATCTTCCATAACCTCACTGGATCATGGAACAAAACGAAATAAACACAACATGTTTAGGTCTCTCAATATTCTAATTGTACAAAGGAAGAAATTTTGGTCGATTTCAAAAAATTATCTTGTTAATGAAATAAAAGTTTTTTCTTGATTTTTATCTATTTCGGAGGGGGGGGGGGTTGTTTTAACTTTTTGAATACTTTTAAATCAACCAAAAATTCCTTTGTATAACTATAATATTGAGAGGTCTAAAACATGTTGTCTATGCTATTTTGTTTCAACAAGGTTCGGAAAGACATTTTATTTCATTCTCAAGAATTGGTATGTAGAAATGAAAGCTTACCAAAAACAGTCATATAAACTATTTCTAAATAATTTTTGCATTAAATTGTTGTTAATCAGTCAACATTACATAAAATACCGTGTTTTTTACAGAATGTTTTCAATGATTGGTTTAAGAGAAACATATTGTTGAATTAGGTTCTCCATATCGATACCACTCCTTTGTCCTATTCGTTTGGAGATTCCAAGAGCGCCACTCTCAGGAGATTTGAATGACCTATAATATGGTACCTTAGTTTTACTGTACATCCACCTCTTCAACTCTGAAGACGCCATGGGGCATATGTCATCCTATCCATTAGTGTTATAAAAATACGTTATCCACAATAAGCCAATCTATGAGGTCTATTCTCTTGAACCTCCTCTAATGCCAAGAGTTTACAAGTATGTAGTACCTAATTGCTATTTGCATTGATGATATTTAAATTCTCATATTCAAGAACGGCTGATAACAATTTTTGGATTGGGTTGGTAGAAGATGCGAGGTTTACTTGGGTGGATAATTCAGTTGTATCATACATTCAGTGGGATTATGGTGAGCCCAGCGGAGACGGTGGTTTGAATGTTTTGTGTGTAGAAATATATAAAAGCGATGGTTATTGGAATGATTTCGACTGTAGTGGGAAAAAGAACTGGATCTGTAAAGCAAGAAGGGGTAAGAAGCCCAGCCTACTGCTTCTGCTTTTGATATTTTTTAAAAAATGAAATAAATTAATATATTGTTGTAAATTCTCTATAGGTCGGTCACATGGAATATCTCGAAACAAAATTGTAATTTTTGAGTTAAAATTAATGATTGTGATACAAAGATATATGTAATTTCAAACACCATTTATTATGTCACCACCAAAAAGTGTTGACATGGTGTTATGACCTCATTTTTTGTTGCGGCGATCGGCGGTTGGTGGCTGGTGGTTGACGATCGGCGGGTGGCGATTTGCGGTTAGCGTCTGTAACAAATTTTACAACTAAACAAATTCTGTTTAGACTGACTTAATTTTTTTTCAAAATCATCTGCAAGTTAACAGAAGTTCAAATCTGACTTTAGAATCTAGATTTGACCTTCAATGCCCTTCTCAAGGTAAAAACATGTCAAAAAGGTATTTTTTCAACTAGATTCAAATTGACCTTTTTTCAAAATCATCTACAAGTTCTCAAAAGTTCAAATCTGACTATATATAAATTTGACCTTCAATGACATTTTCAAAGTCGAAAAAGATTTGATCTTGAATGACCTCCTCAAGGTAAAAAAGGTCTTATTCAAACTTGCTTCAAATTTACCTTTTAACGACATTATCTACAAGTTCTCGGAAGTTCAAATCTGACTTGAGATTTAGCCTTAAATGACAGTCTCAAGGTCAAAAAGGTATTTTTTCAACTTGCTTCAAATTGACCATTTTTTTTCAAAACCATCTACAAGTTCTCAGAAATTCAGATCTGACTTAAGAATGAACAAATAATATTGTGAATAACTAAGCATTATTCTCATGTTCGTCATTATTACACAATTAAAGGTGTACGAGGGTTGTCCCAGAAGTATTTCAGTATCACGCCAAACCAGCAACAAAGTACAGTGACAAAATATACCGTCGTGCAATTTATATGTACGTTGTCCTCCATATCCAGGGCCCAGTCATCATTTTCAAATCTCCTACCACCTCATAACTGTAGTAATATCTGGCAATTGATCAATACCGAGAAGTAGTCACTACCTGATCACCTATTATATGGTACCAATTGTGCAAATATAAGCCAGAAATGAAATATAAATGCAACTTGATGATACGTCTCCTAGTAGGTGAAGTTGTTTGGCGTTACTCAGAACCACGTGTAAATAAAGTTTGTCCAATGTGCAACTCACCTGAAACCTTCACTCATTTTATATAATAATGTGAAATGATTGAATATTTAAGGGGTCCAATTATTAGCAAATCGGAAATTATATCACCTTTGTTTGCACCCAGTAGTTATGATGATTGTGTCCTGATTGAAAGGACGATATATCAGATGTACCAAGAGAGAATTAAGTCTCTCACCCTGTAATAATTAACAATAAAAATGTATATCTTATTTTTGTTTTCTTACATTACATTGTATCAATATAAATTGATTATGTATGATGGTCAGAAATGGTCGCAATAAAGAAATATATATATTCGGTGATAGTGACACATGAGGCAAAGCATATTTTGGGTCAATGTTTCTGTAAATAAGATAGTATTATCTCATACAATTTCCTAATTTGCGACATAGAAAAAACACGTTTCCCATAAACAAGTCCGAGCCATTTCAAAGCTATTTTCTTTATCTTAATTAGATACTTTAGCAGATTGTCCAGGTGGTTGGGTGGAATATGGAGGAGCTTTCTGCTATGAGGTAACACCCCATTTAGTAAAAAAGAAAGCAATCAATACAAGCATCAAATTGTGATTTCTCGAACAGTTTGAAATTACTCACAATATAAGTTTGTATAATTATTGTGTAATATTTAATTTCAGCTCAATAGTCGTATCTCGAGTGAGCAGAAGACTTGGACAGAAGCCCGTGACAACTGTTTACAAAAGAATGCTGATTTAGTTAGTATTTTGAGCGAAGATGAGCAGGCATCCATATTTGGAAATATACCAGGGTATGTTGGGATAACATCTCTTGTCTAAAGCCATAGATAGTTAAAAGGTGCAAATTAATTCTAATTTGGATTGGGAGGGGTAGGATTTTCCTCCATAATCGTAGTAGCTATAGCTAAAGATAAAAAACACGTTTGCTGCAAATATTGAGGCGATGCATTGGAGGTGTACATTGGGTGAGTTAAGATGTTGAAAATTGGATTTTTATTTTTAGAAATTGCCTGAAAATCACACTAATTCTATGTTTTCATCAGATGTTTTGTTTCAATAGAAGAAGAAGCTAGGTCGATAGATGAATAAGCTAGGTCAATAAACTTACAAAATATAGCCTTCGAATTAACAAAATCTGTGGATTTTTTACTAGATCTTGTGTCTCGAAATGTACGGAAAGCAGCTGTTCTTGCAGGAGCGTGCTGTTTGATTCCTACCTGTGAATATTGTATGATTGTTTTTTAAAGGAGTGATATCAAAATGGAGAACTTTTTGAGACATACATTTCTCTTAAACAAGTCATAAAAAATCTAAAAATTTTACACATCGTCAATTAAATGGTCATCTTTTGAATGATATAGTTGGAGACCCATGCCTCTCTTTCGTTTCAAAAAATTGAACCAACATGTCGGTCTCTGTTAATTTATGGCATCCATACTTTTTTGAAAGGTAACACTTTGAAGCTAAATTTTTTTGCCGGATACCCTTGCAAACTCTCATTGGTTGCTCTGTATTGTAGCATTCCGTTACCATGGTGACGCATCTTTAGACATCTTACCTTGGAATCTTAAATCATTGGTAACTTTGTCATTATTTGGTCTATAGAGATGAGTTTGGTATCAAATTAGACCTAATTAAATTTCTTATAAAGGAATGATATTCAATTATGCGAATAAGATAATTTGCATAAATTGTGACATCATCAATCAATTTTTGATTCAGAATTTCCGAGAATAGCAACATATCTATTAGAACTGAGGCCGTATGTCAGAATTTCGGCAAAGTTTGGTCCTTTAGACTATAAGAATGTATAGGCGCGATAAATGTAAAAGTGAAAAACAGAGTCTTAAGAGGTTCTGGACAAATCATTTGATTCTGGACTTGACATATTTTTTTTTCAACGAAATCACATCCAAGGGTTGAATTTTTATTAGCTATTTAGAGAGTGAGTCCTGCCTAGTATCAATTTCAATAAAAAAGTGAAAATAGAACCCTATTTGAGAGTCAATCAAATACTTACATTACATTGATAAATTAAGGCAAATCCTGAAATATTTTTTAAGTGCATTTTTTATGAAAGTATTTAGATGAAACGGTCTTATTTAAATACAAATCATAACATGATGATATTTTTCATGTGACAATTTTTAATGAAATTCAATTAAAGGGTCAAGATAAAACGAGGTAATTTAGGTGAAAACCCTTACATGATGATGTGTTTTCATAACTTCTTTCATAAAATTCCATCAAGGGGTGAAGATAAAATGATCGAATTTAATTGATTTATGGATCACGAGAATATGTTTTCTTGGATATTTTCTATGAAATCCCATCCAATGGTCAAGGTAAAATTTTGATTTTGATTTGGTATATTTGGTCACGTGTTCGAAAGATCCATATAAGGCCCATAGAACCATATAGGAACGTCATTTTGAGTGTCACGTGATAGATCCATATATGGGTTTTAGAACCATTTCGGGAAAGATGAGGGGAAGCCCCTGACACCTGTTTCACGATTTTATCCGAACTTTGTTCGGATCATTTCGGTTTTTATGCACTTCATTATTGTACCGAAGTTTGCCGATTTGATTCGTCGTATTTCGGAATCCTGTTGACAATTTTATACTCCACTTGGA